TACAAAGATCGCATAAAATAATGAATTAAAAAGTTAACAATAATCCTGACGAAGATGATGGATTCAAACTGGACTGATGATGTAAGAGACATCTGTCCGTGCAGTCAGGGAGAAGACCTACATTATTTTTGGTCACAGATGCGGAAGGAGTACGATGACGCAGACCTCGGCCTCCTCTCTGAAAATATCAAATAAACAGGCTGCACTTGTGTAACTCATCTCCATAATTACCCCCTTCAGAGGAGGCGGTATTTAAACACCTGCTCCCATGGTCCTACACCAACCTCAGGTTCCGGGGTTCCAGTCAGGATGAAGACAGAGAACTCAGTCCCTGTGGTTCCGTTCTCCGGGAGGAAGCAGAGTCTGATCGAAGATGCTCGCCGAGAGCGCAGCAGCAACGCCGGGGGTGGAGGCCCCTCGGTGGGCTCCCCGGGGCCCTCCAAGAACGGAGACGGCTTTGTGTTTGAGGAGAAGCACGGCATGGTGACGCTCAACGTCCTGTTCACGCTGAGCAGCACGAAGAACGCTGGCTTCTTCAAAACAGGGAAAATTTTCGAGGTGAGTCACAAAAAATGAATAAATCTGTCCGTCCATCCATCCGTCCATCCATCTGTCCATCTATCTGTCCGTCCATCCATCCATCACTGTCCACTTCAATCATGTCCTGGGTCTTCCACTAGGTCTCCTCCCTGTGGGACATGCCCCGAGCAGCGTCCGAGGAAAAACAAATACAGTAGACTAATAAACTATTGTTTTTATCGTTTTTATCATATCATCTATTTGTTATTATTGTAACGTTTTTAAATCCTATTTGTTATTATTGTAACGTTTTTAAAATCACTTTTCAATAACGATTTATAAAACAATAACAAAACAACTGAATATCATCATTATTGTGGTCTTGATTGTTATCATAATAATTAACATTAGAAATAGTAAAGCTTTTTTCTAGAAAAAAATATTAAGATAATGATGATTATTGTTAAGGTTGTTGGTTTTTATTTCTTCCCTACTTTGACTCTTTTTCCTTACCTACAGACATCGAATTTTTTTTTAATCTGTTCAAATATAATTGAACATCGTTCTGACCAGTTATATTTTTAAAACAAAAAAATATCAATACCCTTAAAAATCTTGTTGTTGTCAAGTGCTAAAAAGAAAAATGTGTTTAATTCTCTAAACAGACTTGAATAAATGTATATAATTGACCTTTGTCTGTTTGTGTTTTTCATCGGCAGACGTTTGAGGCCAAACTTCTCCACATTGAGAGTCGTCCAGGCAGGAAGTGGAAGAACAGCAGCGCGGACCTGGAGTTCTTCATGAGGTGTGAGGTTCACAGCTCAGACCTGGACGTTTTCATCAACGCTCTGAAGAGAGTGGCCGACGAGGTTCGCTCCATACCAGAGGAAAAGGGTGGGAACAAAGAAAAAAAACTCAGACAGTAATCCATGTTATCATTGTTGTTGATTCAGATTCTTTTTTTAATGATTTATTAGAATTAAAAACAATAACCCAGGCTAATGATGATGAGTCCCCCTTCCTCTCCCCCCACAGTCCCCTGGTTCCCTCGTCAGATCAAAGACCTGGACAGATGTAA